CCTAAATGTGTACAGACAAAAATTATAAACAATAACGAAGGATTGATATTTTCAAAAAATTGATATCTGATTAATATTTTTTTTTATTTTTTGGATGATATTTTTTTCTATTAATATTCTCAAAAAAAAAAAAACCAAAAAAGAGAAGAAATTTCTTGGATACATAAAAAAGCACAGTTCTAACTGGGGTACGATATCACCGGTGTTGTCTGAGAGTGGCAAAATTTTCGGCACTGGCAAATTATCAGTAATTCTCAAAACTAAAAAAACATTTCGAAATGGCCAAAATTTTACCAAATCTGTTGGAAAACCATCGAAAAATTGGATTTTCTTCTTTCAGGAGCAAGGTAAATGTTAGGATTGCCAGCAGGCTGACTAATACTATTACGTGAAGCATGTACTGATTGAAGAAGCAATTGGAAAAGTTGCCAGGTGCATAGATGGAGAACCGGACTGCCACTTCATACAGAAAGGCGAAATTTAAAAAAAAAGAGAAAAAATACGAGTAAAAATACAAAAAAAAGACTCAATTTTAACAAACATAGTCTTACGTTTCTTAAAATATCCTTACTTCTCGAAGTACAAGAAGTATCAAAAGTATCCTTACGTTTCTTAAAATATCCTTACTTCTCGAAGTACAAGTATCAAAACTATCCCAACGTTTTTTTTTTTTTACCAAAATTACCCTTACGTTTTTTAAAATATCCTTACTTTTCGAAGTAAAAGTATCAAAAGTATCCCTACGTTTTTTTTTTACCAAAAGTTCCCTTATGTTTCTTAAAATATCCTTACTTCTCGAAATACAAGAAGTATCAAAAGTATCCTTATGTCTTTTTTACCAAAGGTATCCTTACTTTTCTTAAAATATCCTTACTTTTCGAAGTACAAGAAGTACCAAAAGTATCCTTACGTTTATTTTTTTTACCAAAAATACCCTTACGTTTTTTAAAATATCCTTACTTTTCGAAGTACAAGAAGTACCAAAAGTATCCTTACGTTTATTTTTTTTACCAAAAATACCCTTACGTTTTTTAAAATATCCTTACTTCTCGAAGTACAAGAAGTACCAAAAGTATTCCCAGGTTTTTTTTTTTTACCAAAATTACCCTTACGTCTCCTAAAATATCCCTACTTCTCAAAATACAAGAAGTACCATCCTTACGTTTTTTTACCAAAATTACCCTTAAGTTTCTTAAAATATCCTTTTTTCTTGTACTTCGATGCCTGAAAAGTGACAAAATCCTTCGTGTTCTCACCAAATCTTACCTAGCAGCAATAAAAAAATGCTCTGAGCGCTGAGAGGGAGAGAGAAGCAAAGAGATGTG